AGGATCCTGATAAAAGTAACTGTTCCCTTTCAATAGCTAAGGTCAGATTCCCCAAGGAGGAAGGGGAGTTTGTAAAATCTTTCAAATATCTGCATGTTAACTTACAGCAGCTGCAAACTCACAGGACTCAAACATATAAATTAGCTACTGTGTCTTTAGGAGCAGCAAGATTATGTGAGTCTAATAATTGCATTTCATCTCAATGGAAGACCAAATTACACACTCCAGCCCACAGAAATCCACAAACAAAGTCAACAGCAGAAAACTTTATGTTCAGTAAAAACCATCCATTGTCAAGTGTAACAAAATAGGAGAAAAGTATATGTTAGGACTGAATTTCTGGCTATGAAACACCATCTGAAGCTGACTTCCTATAAGGCAGTTTTGCCTGCAGGATGAAGATGGCATCATGAGTGCAGTGAATTGGAAGCTTCCTCACTCATGGTCTCTGAATAAATTCAAACTATTGCCAGAACTGTGTGTGCAGCACAGAAAACTACTGCTACACAAGAATGTCAAAGCCAGGCATCATTATCTTTTACTGCCTGAAAGTAATATATCATCCCAAATACAACTAACACAGCACAGGCTTATTACCAACAAAAGTAAACCAGAATTTAGGTATTTTTATTCCTAGCACATTAAGCATTCAGACAAAGAAAAAACAAAAGTTCTGATTTAAATCTGGCTTAATCACTTCAGCGAAAATTTGTTTGCCAAACTTGAGAAATCCTTAATGCTCCTTGCAGATGTTGGGTTGTAGGACCAGAAATTCACATCCATGATAATGTATTTCCCTGCATTTCTATGATTCAAGTGCCACAGCACTGAAGTAGAAATTTACAAAGTGAAATTCTGGGCCTACTGAAATTGGTAAAGGCTTTGCCACTGATTTCCATTGGGCCAGCATCACTACTGCTCTAACAAATAATAACCAGAATCACATTTTAATATCTACTTTTTTACGCAATATACTGTAAGACATTGTATGCACACTGCATTAAATATAATTGTCAAACTTTGATATCAGGAGACATTTGTGCTTTGAAACAAATAGAGTAGTGAGAGGAAATTACAGCAGCCTTCTAAATTTCCCAAGCAAATCAAACTTTAAACCGTGATTTTCTTAAGAACAGTAATCACATTCTTACCTTAAAAAATGTCACTGTCCTTAATAAACCTGCAGAAATGTCATCAAAGGGTCACTGACAGAATCTTCCAGGATGGGGAAATCTACTGCTTAATCACTGTGAGTTGCAGGGACTCTGAGCCTAACCACACAGAACGATCTGAAGCAGCATTTACAGGCCAAAGTAAATTGGAATGGATTTGTTTTCTCCAATGATTTACTTCATTACCTTTCAAATTAAGCTAGCTATTCAGTAATTCTGGAAACAATCTCAAGGTCTGAATACTGCATGGCAAAACAGATGTGAGCTCTGGAAGAGAAACGTTTGGGTGCCAGGCTTAGAGGAGAAGTGCAGCAGCAGCCCAGTGTCTATCTCTGCTGACAGAGCACATTATACTAACTAACTTGAATTTTGCAGCCGTGCTCCACTGGGGTTTTAGAACAGATCAAGCAGACTTGGTATCACAGACATTACAAGGCAGAAATCAAAGGTATTGGCAGAGCAAGAGACTCTCAGGAGCTGGGAAGGCCTCTCAGACCTGGGATAAATGGAAGTTTTAACACCAACTGGAGACTCCAGTGTATTTCAGCAGAGCTCAAACTGCTGTACCCTTTTCACAGAAGCATGTCAACTTGGTCTTGGTACCCACTGCACAGAGTTTTTGGCTTGAATGTGCTCCCAAAACTAACCCAAACCAGCCCAACTTGCAAACAGGATGCAAAGATGTAGCTTCTGAGTGGTGGAGCATTTGGGGACAGAAGGGGTGAATATATACTACTGGGAACGAGTATCTTATTACATTGCCAGGTGCCAGTTTCTGCAGTGCTAAATGATTGCTGAAAACAATGGCTTCCTAAAAGTTAAGCAGCACGAAAAAATAAAATTAACAAGTTAACATCTCAAGAAATAAATACTGACAAGCCCTGCCTACAAGGGAGGCCTGGCAGAGCTGGGAGACAACACTGCCTCAGTTCAAGAATTCTTTACTCACTGTCAGTTACATATTTCTTCTTGCTTAAAAATGACATTACAGATGCCCTGGCAATAGCAGAAAATTAATTTCTCTAGACTTCAGAGTGAAAGCCCAGCTTTTTGTATGGACTCAGCTGATCCAAATACTACTTTATTTTCCTCTCTCCTCCTTAACAACAACAACAACAACAACAACAAAAATCAAACTCCAAATGCAAATATGGAGATATGCAAGCCTTCCAAGGGAAGGAAAGAAAATTAAATCAATGAGGTCATGAGAAATTCAGTCTTACAGGTACCAAGCATCACCAGAAGATGACACTGCACGTGAGCTTTGCTTCCCTAGACTGCACCTTAGAAACCCTGGCTGAGTCCTACTGTATGAGAGACATGGGTAGCCCTAGCAAATGTCATTTTCTAGAAAATCCAAGGAACACAGGGCACTGCTCCTGTAGTGCAAGTGAGAACGTGCAGAAAACACATTAAAAATATGTTACATTTCAGGACATGCCCCCAGGAGAGATGCTGGGTCATGTGACACCACAAACAGAGCAGAAAGCACATGGAAAGAGGATCCCAGAGACAGCAGGTAGAAGGGATCTCTGGTAGTCCCACCTACTCAGAGAAGGACCACCACCAACACCAGAACCATCCACTCCCTGGAACTCTTAACTGGATAGCTCCTGGTTTTTTGTATATGCTTCTTAACAGCTTATTAAGTGTTTGGGAGTGTCTGCATGGCAAACAGCCAGCGAGGAGAACAAAACCTATCATCTTCAGGCCCTGCCTTCTAACTTGGACAAGGAAGCAAGCAACACAAGTTAACTGCTGGGTAACACCAAGGAGGAAATCAGTCCCCTCTCTCAGCTCCTAATCATGAAGTCAGTAGTTCTCAGGAGAAGATGAAAGGGCACCTCCCTGGCTGGGGCCCTGCTGATGGCACCGCTTGGGCTGTGCAGGAGTCCTTTCTTCTGCACTCACAAAAGAATCCAAGCAAGTAATTTAAAAGTGCCTCAGAGCAAAGCTTGTCACTAGATCAGGTTTGCCCTGTTAAAATAATAATGAGGTAACACATAAAACTGCCTTCGATTTGATTTGAGGACGTTTCATTCATAAAACCAGAAATAGCAACAGCTTTGTTACTAAATAAATTTCATAGATGGTTTTAAAAAGTCTGCACACCCCTCCTTGCAATAGAGCAAAGCCAAGCAGTAGGGATTCTGTGGCACAAGACACACTCTGCTTCCAAAGACAGCTCTGCAAGTTGAAATGAGAGTTGACAGCTTCCAGGTCATTAATCCAACAGTGTAAACAGAACCTATGTACCAGTACATGCATTCAGGTGGACTAGAGCAATGGCCAAAATAAGAACTACACAAACACTGTTCTGCTTTTTGTTTGGAGTTTCCAGAAAAACTTTCATAATCAATTCTCCACTCTCTTCTACTCATCTTCAGGATATGTGGAGCCTGGTGTCGGCTATATTTGTGTTGCTAGCTGAAAGAACAGCAGAACATGCCAAGCATTTAATAACAAAATTCCAGCCTTGTGACACAACCCAGTAATCCCAAGATTGGAAACTAGCCTCATATTTCTATTCAGCATAAAACTCTAATCCTAACAAGGGCACCACTATTTTTACTTTGCCTGAACCTTTTCTAAAGATACGTATCTCACAAATTAAGAAAGTTACTGTAGATCAGGTCAAACAGGGATGTGTTACCTACGTACATATGGCATCTACAGACTGGTAGAACTATGGCAACACAGAAACTGCTAAAACTAGTTATGCTCATTGGAGTGCCCTTACACAGAATTGGTTGTAGCTGGATGAGCTGTTGTATTTGAACTACTGATCTTCCATCACCTTGGGACCCCTCTCAGGACTCTCCTATAATGAGGAAACAAATGGAGGGTTGCAGTGTCCTAGAAAAACTGTGGCTGGGAGCAAGCGTGCATAAAACAATCTAATATCATGACTGCAAAATAGCAAGGCGGGAGGCTTAGCAAGTGAAGACCTCAGGTTCAGGCCAGGACTAAATGTGCATTATAGACATGTCTAAAAGACCTATCAAGATTTCTGTGAAGGGGGAGAAATAAACTCTTCCACCCCCTAGTTGCTACTTCAACCACTGTTTGCCTTGATCATTTCCACCACCAGATCCCAAGCAGCTTCTCACTACTGCAGCTGTCCTGGCTTCAACATCACTCAGGTTTGCAGTACAGTGTCATCAAACACCTGGAATTCCATTTTAAAACAGCTTTTACTGTCACTAACTGCGCTGCAGATGTGAGGATGTGCCTGACAAAGCTGTAGCACAAGCATATGCTGTATGCCAGCACAGACAGCAGAATTGCTCATCTGTCTCAACTTACAAGTCACAAAACAGGAGAAAAATTGCGCCAGTGCTCGGCATCCTGTACAGCTGCAACATGCAACACATAAAACTGCAAATGCAAGTGTTTTAGGGGAAGACAGAAATCATATTATGTTAAGCTAGCAAAAGTAATTTCTGCACAGGGTACACTTATTCCCAGAAGCACAAAAGTTTTATACACCTATTAAATATGCAGGTAACTATTCCAATTATTGTCTGCTACCATGTATAAATGTTTAACCATAAGGTTCATGCAACTTCATGCTGTCTTGCCCTGGCACTACAATGCCTTCTGTAAAGCTCTTTCCATTCCTAACTGTGATGGGCATATTTTGCAAAGAACACAATCAGGCCATATTACTGTACAGGTTATACAGAAGTATCACTTATGAAGAAACAAATTCAACTTCAACCTTGACTAGTTCATATTTTGTGTTATAAGGAGAGATAGTCAACATTAGAAACAGTCTTATGGATGGATACACATAAAAGGCCAGTACTGAACAACTACTACACTTACTCTGCGAAATGATACCACGTAGAAAGTATCTTCTCTTCTGTGAATAGCTTCAAAAAAATCTTGATAGCTCCTTGGAGAGGCATAATACACCTGCAGCTCATTCCCTGAGTTCCTGCTGAAATGAAGAAGGGGGGATGTAATTATTTCAGACAAGAAAGTTAACTTCAGCGAGATAATGACTTTAAAGATTTGCTTTTCAAAAGAAGAACAGCTCTTCATCCATTGAGGGAAGCATGAGGAATCTTAAACACAACTGAAGACAGTGAAACTACTGGGTAGTTTTTGAAAGTTCAAGGTGCTTTAAAGGTCTTGCTGCAGGAAACTTTTCCAGGCTTGATTCTATTCACGCTTTTGAGGCTGACAAAAATCTGCTTGCTAGCTCAACAGAAAAAAAGAAATTTCAAGTCAACCTAAAGTGTCTGAAAAATTATGATGACTTCTGGAAATACATTTTAGCAAATTTTAGAATGAAATATCATTCTGAAATTAAAAAATCAAAACATTTAATATTTTTTAAATTCTTTTTACGGCTAAGGATCCAACCACTCAAATTGAAAGAAGTGCAAAAGTAAGCATAAACAGAGCTTTTGTTTACTGTCAAATAAATGAAAAATGAGTAAAAATGAGATATTCACAAAATTCTGACTCGTCTTCTTCACTATTCTCATCTCGTATATCAGACATGAGGAGAAGACACTGTCTAAACTAGTCTAAGCAAAACCACTGGCAAATTGTACAATCGTGGTACTTATCCACTGTTTAGCTTGGAAAGGTAAGAAATTCTCAGGACATATTGCTATCATGTATACTTCCCCAATTTCATTCAAAAATAACATATTTAATCAAATTGGAAAGCTGTAGTTACACAAACCATCGGCTGCACCTTCAAATAGACATTTTAATTCTTTCCCACTTTAATAGCATACTGTCTGTTTGCAGTATTTGTGGCAAAAACACTGATAAGACTGTCCTTCCCAAACTGTCTTCTGCTGACCCTGATTTTAAACTATGGTGGACAACTTCGATTATTTGGTGTGTTTCTAAAATGTACATAACTATGCACCCAAAACAAGGCACAAATCTACCATCAAGTGATTTTGTTGAGCAGCAGTAATAGCAGACCATCATTATCTCCTCTCTTACTGCTAATACAGTCCTTTTGCAATCGAAGGACTGTAGCTGCCAAGGCAGTTACTCTTTAACAGGATCGGGGGTGTAAATCCTCGGGGATCAAGAGCAGGCAGCTCTACCCTATATATCCTCTTTAGCAGAACTATGCAAGCAAGGAATCAGATCACATCCTTCATACACAGGAAACAAAGATCAGAGCTAATCTGAGCTTGATTACTCATTCACAAAAACACGTAGGCCCACCAAACCACCACTGAGATTCAGCGTTGAAGTTTTACTGTGATAAAAGGCAACACGCCTACACACTGCTCAGTAAAACATCCTGAAAACTGAAACAGGTCCCACAGATCCGTTTGCTCGCCCACACTCAAGAAGATACAGCTAGACCTAAAAACCAGCCTTTTACAATTCTAAATCCAGCCATGGGAGAAAGCTGTTCCAAAGCACCTGGAAACCACTGGGCCTTTACAAAGCTCTCCTGGGTCTATGGAACAAGTCTACCACCAGTCCCTAAATCCAAGTGACACCAGTAATCCACTGGTATTACACCATACTTACCTTTGAGCATTTAAGAGTACCCACTATAGACTCCTCCATGAAAGGAATGGAGGAACTTAAGATCTGAAAACGGGTACAAAGCTACTAGTTGTTTTAATAATATGTCACCGTATTACAAAAAAGTGTCATATTAAATTGTGTATATTAAAAGTTCCAAGGGCACTCTGTTAAGCATCACAGAGCACTAGGATGTTGCACATATGCTTGTTTTAAGAAGGAATGAGGTTGTGGACTCTGTTTTATGCACCAAGAACCACAATTTTAATACTGCAAAATTTAGAAACAAAAAGAATTGGAGAATGCCAGTTTGATATCTGGAGCCCTAAATGCACACTTGCAGAAACCCTCATCAAAATTACCTCTAAAGAAATCTAAAAAGACTGAAGAGAGCTGGGGAGGGTAAATGGTTTTCTTTGACATCATCTTGATTTTGACCTTTTTCCTCTGCTTTTACTTCACTGCAATACCTTTCAATCGATCATTTTTCTTTTGGAATCCAGGACCAACATGACAATGTAGTATCATCAGTGCTACAAAGAGAAATCTAGATCCTGCTAATGTTCTCCTGTTCATTGACTCAGGTCACCAACAAGGGTGTTCTAGAAGGTAAAGGTCACTCAATTTCCAGTCACAGAACTAGTATTAAAAATTAAAACCCTTGCCTGTATACTGCACAAAAAGGCACCTGAATCATTAATAAAAGCTTCAGGGCCATCTACAAACAGTATCAGGAAACTTAAAAGTGGTTTTGGTTTTACACATTTGAAGAGACAATGCTAGTTCATTAACAGTTCTCCACAGGCAACGCCTCAGGGATAGCATCAATAACATAACTGAATAAACAGCATTTTTCCTGTCTTCCCAGTCCGTGAGGCACAAGAACTGCAGAAAGGACCTGGGGTGCTGGTAGACCAGCTGAATGCAAGCCAGCAGGGCACCCTGGGGGCAACTGCATCCTGGGCTGCATTACAGTCAGGGCCTCAAGTGCAGGATGCATAAAGAAAAACAGGAAACAAAGGGCTTGTTCAGCCTGGAGAAGAGGAGGCTGAGGGGGCTCTCACTGCAATCCTCAGCTTCCAAATGGGGGTTACAAAAGGAGAGGGAGACAGCCTCTTCTGACAGAGACACAGAGTAAACCTGAACTTTTGAGGAGATTTTGGACTAGAGATGTCCAGAAGTCCTTTACAACATAAACTGCCCTGTGATTTTATGATTTCATGGAGCATCTAATAGCTGATGGCTCTGTGAAGAACTGGAAGTCTGTTCTATGTTCTTAGCAGTTCCCAGACAGTCACAGCCTGCAGCTGCCATGACTCACTGGTTCTGCTCATTTAAACATCATTCATCCAAAAAAAACCCCAAAAAACCAAAAAACCTTACTTCCTTCTGAGCACAGCAGACTATTCCATACAGAGCTGCATGATGTTGCAGACTGTTTCTAATAACCATGAATTATTTTTTTTTTTAAGAATAATGCAGGCATGTATATTAAAGTGCCTTGTACCATGAGGCTTGTTCATCCAGTCTTCAGTTAAAACAGACATCCTTCATCTACCTGTAGAACTAAAAAACCCTTTTTCTTTTTTTATCAGTCAAGACATATCAAAATTTGGCAGCCTAGTTTCCGTAACATTTGCCTGCAGCTTGCTATCTTCTCCAAGGCTGATCCTGCTTTCAAAGCAGCAGTGCAAAGGGCCACAGCTGTCTTACTTTCAATGGCAACTTTTCAGGTGTTCTTCTCAACAAAAAGTCCACTTTATACCCCATTCTGCTCACTCCTCTTTGTCACTTCAAAGCAGAGAACCTTTTAAACACTGTCACAGAGAATTCAGGAGGAAAGATATTCATTTCTTTAAGCTTTTTTCTCCAGTTCTTCCTGTCCCCAGGAAAAAAGGGACAGGATAGGTATATGAGACAGGGTGAGGCTGGGGGAATCACAAAATTCTGGATTATTATGTTCTAATCATTAGGGAAAATCAGGAGATGAAGACAAACCATGCAAGTAAGATGTAATGATACTTTAACTTTTTCCAATTAATATGGTAATAGCTATAATGGTTCTACTCTTGAAGACAGTGAGAGAAACATTTCTCTTACCAGACTCTTTGAAACCTTCTTATGAACTACCAAAGTTCCTCCAGCTATTTCCAACACAATCCCACCTTTTTATTCCCTAAAGATTCAAAGCTGTTTAGGAATGGACTCTGCAGAGTCAAGTAAAGTTTTTGTTAAAACTCAGTTGTAAAAAGGCCCCAGAAGAGTGAAGCTGTGATACAGGGGTTTCTTCAAATCTCGTTTGAATAATGAGAAGCAGTTATTTGCTAAGGGACAGAAATTAGGCCAGTAATTTTTTAAGCACCTGACTTCCAAATCCTGACAGCAAGGTGAAAACTGGCATTTTATACCAGCTGTTGGTGAAAAAATAGATTAAGTAGAAAGCAGTAACAAAGCAGTTATTCTGCCTTACCTGAGGCTGGTGTCTGTGTAAGGCATGGCCATTAGCTGGGAATCTGCCTTCTCACTGAGGGAGCTCTGAAAAAGGAGGAAAACAAAAAGATGACACAAAGTGAAAACAATAAGCATTTCCTTGGTTTGGCACTACATAAAACATGATGCACATCTGTAGCACCAAATGAATATATAAGGGGGTGCAGAGGTTAATCAGTGCCCTGAACAATAAATGTATGTTTTCCCACTGGTGAAACATGAATAACTGAAATGGACAGCAATCAAGCTGGAAATGCAGAAAATAGGAAGTGTTTTAATACAGCCAAACTTGAAGTCACACATTCCGAGACAAAGAAGGGAGACTGGCACCACACAGAGCAGCTGCACATATTGTGTCATTCAAGTGCAAAATTTGCTATCGGTGATGTCAGATTTGCCGAATTCTTCTGAGGTCACATCCACCTTGTACCACTGTCGAAGTATACTACCCACAATACACTTCTGGCATTTGAAACACTAGAAGCACCTGAACTTGCCCTGCTTAAATGTTCTACCATTCTCCTTTGGAGACCAGTGAGAGAATCTGAAATTCAGTATACAATAATTTTTCCTAGAGAAGTGTGGTATTTCCCACACTGTTAAGTTCAATTCCTTTTAAGGCTGTTACTAGCTCTTAATAAAATGAAACATTCTCAGAATTAATGGTCTTAATTTCATCCTCACTATTGATATGCCATGTAGATGAAAGATTTTTTAAAATAGGAAATATGAGCACAAATCTTGTAATTCTGTAGTCTTACCCAAAACATCCTTCTAGTAAAAATCTGGAAAAATGAAGTAGAAATATTTTAACAAAACCAATTAGCTGTGCCCTTTAACCACAAGCCAGATGAATGTGTTGTAGGTTATATTTCTCTCTATTAACCAGCTGTTTAGCCTTATCCTTACACAGCCTTATAGAGAAGTCATAAAAGTAATTTTAGAAAACACTGCACATATTTTGACAACTGCTAACAAAATTAAAAACCTTTAGCCTGAATCCAAGAGCAGGAATGGAAGAACTTTGACAACATAATAATCAACCAAACCCAGCAATTTAAAATGGGAAGTGTTGGGTCCCCTAATTACATGCACCATTGCTACTCTTGTCTGTAATGACAAGAGCAGACAAGTAAGCGAGAATTATTTTGTTATGTTGTCTGAAAATTATCTTGTCATTCTATTGACTCAGCAGTATAAACCCACCTACCTGCAAAACCCGTGCTTTCTGCTGATGGTTCTTTGACAACCTTCTAGATCTTGTTCGTTCCACTTCATGTCTATGAACCCATCCTCGAAGTTCATGATTCAGCCTAGCAAAACCGACAGCATTAACAGATGTTTCAAAGAACAGTGGCAGAGTTTTTTAATTTTAGAAAGCAGTTTAACAAACTACTATAAAGACACTGCGGATTACTAGTCTTTTACCTCATGATAACTTATTTTTAATACCAGAGTAAGAAAATATAATTGCAAGATTAAATTTATGAGGGAATTTGTAAGGAAATATCTATAAATTATTGGGATCATGGATGTTTCAATATAAAGCAGATACAATACTTTCTTTTTCCCAGTGAACAGTAACTCTGAAAGTACTGGAAGGACTATTGAAATTTAAAATCAAAAGTTGATCAGTTCAAGACAAAATATTGGTCAAGAAGGCTGAAGTATGGCAAATAAATTTGAGAGAAAGAAGGGACAAAGCAGAATGAAGATAAAGTTAGTGACACACCCATATCTTTGGAAAAGAGCTAAGTGTTTTCTAACAGTGAATAAAGGACATCTGCAATGTCAGTTTAAGTCTGCTGTATTGGAAGCTGAAGAGTAGGAGACCATCTCTGAAGTACTTCAGATGGAACTGGCTTTTAGCTGGACTTGATTTCCATATCATAAACATTTCTACATATGAAACGTTTTCTTGTTCAAGCCATAAAAACCCTCCAGGCAATCAGAAAATTGTTATTCGGCTATTGCTAAATGAACAGTCTGAACACTGAGTGAAAATCATTACTAAAAACATCAAAACATGACAAAGATCCAAGCCAATCTCCTGTCTCCATGGTAGCAGACACTGGACAGTGTGGACAGTTTCAGAGGCACCAGTCACATATTGATGAGCACTACAAATGGACAGTAACATCACCCAGAGCTGATTGGCCAGTAGCACTCACCCCACACACAGTTTATATCTAAACTCCTAATAAAAGCTTATATGATCAGAAAAGGTTGTTGACTCACCTGAGGGACTCTGTTCGGTTGATCAGGGGCTGACAGGGGGGGTGGGGTGGTGAAATATATAACAGTGGTTCTTCTGAGACTATCATCAATGCTTTGTTATCAGACACAGAACGATCATACCTGGGAAAAAAAAGACATCAAGAAATCCCTTAAAACAGTTTTTCATGAACCTTTGACTAAATCCAGAGAATAAGCACTACCATCGGCAAACCCACAAAGGTTACAACTACTCCCATGGGACCTTTGAAACAGGTGTATAACAATTTCTCTCAAACATCCAGCGGTCTCAGTCAATTCCCCAAACAGGTTTGATAGCACTCAACAGACAGTTGAGCACTAGCAGATGTTGGATCTCTTCCCAAACAGGCCAGATACTGAAAGAAAATATAGCCTGTAAAATATTCCTCATAATATGTAAACTATGAGATCTCTGCAGAGGCAACTTTCTCTTTCATTCCAAGGCCATGCAAGATTTGTTACAGAAATACTAAATTTATTAGGCACTAAAACCACACAGATGTAAAGACTACGAGCTATATGACAACAGAGCAGTCACAAACTATATTACAACTGACTGGAGAGGATTTACATCTCCGACAGTGTCCAGAAGCTAGTTTGACTTTGAGAAAAAGTGAAAAAGAGCACATGTTTCAATATAGAAGTCCACAGCACTCTTGGCAACAAAGACTAAGATTCATTTCTCCTGGTTATCTGTACCTCCTGAGGGGTTAAATACTTATCACCAAATACCTATTATAAGTTCCTCTCTTGACAGGGTATCAATGTAGCAGCCTTCATCCTCTTGGTTTTAACAGAGACTTGTAGCTCCTAAACCTCAAACCTTTTCTTTCTGAAAAGCCTTACTCACATTCCCCTCCTTTTCCTAGCTTTCTCTCCATCTTCAAGCATGCTTATTCTCTTTACTGTATCTAGAACTGATAAAGGAGAATATGCAGCAAAGATCTCACAGAGCTTGCCAAAAAACAGGGTGAAAGAGTGAAAGAAAAGGAGGAGGTACAGGCACTAGCACATCCTCCTAAGAGAACCACTCTACTACTATGTCGCTTAAGTCATGGTCTGAAACATGCCACAGAGGACACAAAATCCTCACCATGGCTACAGCCTTAAAATGCTCTTGATTTATTGCCTTCTTTCTGCATGGCAAAATACATAAGGGCTTTCTGCACATCTGTGCCTGGCTTTGTTCAACCAGCCAAAACACTCTACTGGAAAGGGACAATCTGATAGGATGAATCTTGTAAGGGGAAAACATGAGCTGGATTAACCAGATTTCAATCTGGAGACAATTATAAATTCACTTATGCATTGAATGCTGGAGATCTAGGAAGCTTGAAAGCAACTATATAATTAAATAATGGATTAGCATTAGGATACTCAGAGTTTTCTATGAAAGTATAGTGCTAAGTTCAAAGTATGTTCTTAATCGTGAACTTCCCCAGTCTTAAGCAACTAAAAAAATAAATCATCCAGCTTGAAAAGTAAGGATAGATAATATGACAAATACCATAACTATGCAAGCTAAAACAAAGATCAGGGAAAAAAGCAGACAGATGAAGAACTGAAGGAGTTCATGAAAATCTCTATGACATACACTTGTTTATATGCTCTCTTCCACCACACTGTCCCTAACAACATTCATCATAACCACGTGTACGCTTCTGAAGCTCTACATATAGGGTAAACTTGGAGATAAAACATCATATTCATATGAAAAGCAACCTGGTAAACTTTGTTAAAAAAAATAAAAATAAGAGAACAGCTTTTAAGCTGTTTGTAAACAAAGTTGCTCTGTAAGAGCAGCAACAGCGCTGGCCAAAAAGGCTAGCAAATGAAAGGGCAGTGAACTCTAAAAGCACCATTGCCCTCTGCCACTAAAAATATGTTAAAGATTTTCATCTCACCTATTACTCTTCTCAGGAATGATGTCCCCAGGTATTTTCTGAGCTGTGCTGGACTCCTGGCTAGCTGAGAACTCCAGAAGATTTCTTGTCCGGTGGCTGGAACTTGCCATGGAACTAACTCCATTGGGATCCTTTTCGAATACACTGGAAAACATAATGACCATAGCAAACCATATCACATATATAAAGAGTCTTACTATAAGGTGATAAATACTCAAGTGAGTAAGTTTCTGTCTGCTGTTATGTTACATGGATAAGGCTCGTGTCGTAAAAACATAATGTCTTGTAACATTATATTTCTGTCATTCACACCATTAGTAGACAGAAAAGCAATTCTGTTTTCCAGTTTTAATTGTTCAAAAGATTTTGATGCTCTGCTTTTCATGTTCCCCCGTAAACTTCACCTGATAGAAGATCAATCTGTTTGTAACCTAGATCTGCAGGCATAAGAAAATTACCTATGTTCAAACCAAAGTACCCCTGAACTTTAACTTTCATCAGCCTCAAAGCACATTCAACGTAGTTTATATGAATACAATATGTAAGGAAAATATAGCTACCAAATTCCATGCAGCTGCAAGCCCGAGATATTATTCCAGACATCTAACATAACTGTACACAAACATGTATGTTCAATTCTACTTGGATTTAGAAACACTGGCAGGGCTGACAATCCCATCTACATAGTGGCAGCAGGCCATGGTCCCAGATAGTCCTGGTCTGTGCTTGCACTGATTGAAAGATCTTGCCCTGGGGGCCTGCTCAGGCAGGCAGCCAGCCAAGCAGTATAGGAACGTCGGTGCTGCTCTCCATGCAAAGCAAGGTTGCAGCATTTCACATACGAGCTGGAGAAGTCACCAAAGTACTGCTACATGAGACTGACTGCATCTCAGTTCAGAAGGGCAATTTACAAGTGAGAAATCTTGAAAGCACAAAAGCAATACTTCAAGATACCCTCTCCAGAGACTAGCTTTACTCTTTTGGAAATAAGGTTGCTTCCTGAAATATGTATATTTACAAACTCAAGTCCTAATCTTCTTAGCTGACAACAGCGGAGCATCACCAGCAGCAACACCACAAAAATACAAAAAGACCCCAGCATGCTGATGAGATCTTTGCTATGCATGCTGATCACTGCCTACAGAGTACATTTTAATTCATGCCCCACTTCTCCTGTGTAGTAGAGCATAAACTCTGCAGAGGAAGATCTCATTTTCCTACTTGTTACATAGCATCACATTGCAACAGGCAACAAATACAAATGGCAGTAGCAGAAAAAGGCAAGAACTAAGGAGGGCAGATTAAATACTCCACAACTACACAGAAGGCACACAGACATAGTTACCTAGCAATCCCCTCTCTTTTGCCAACACATTCGCACTCCTGTTAGCAGTAACTCAGGTCTCCCCATGACTAATTGTGTCATGTTCTACAGAACCGCCAGAGCCAGGGCAATCCCAGATCTGGGCTGATGTCGCTTGGACTGCCACCTCTCCTTCAGGTTTCCAGGCAGCGGCACAGAATCAGGGCAGCAGAAATGCTACAGGTTCTGTTTTCACTAGTGACAGTGGGCAGAAAAGTACTTACAGACAGCTTCTTTACTGTATATGTACACTACCATTCAAACGTCTCATTGCTTCTACTGCACAGCATGGAAAGCTGGATGGTTTATTCACAGCCTCATAGATCAGGTTATCCAATTTTACAGAACCAATCTCCACTATCTACTATATTTTATGAGATAATATTTCTCCTCTTCCAATAAAAGCACAACTGGCAGAATCTCAAGTCCAGAACCAGAGCTCAAAACTAAGGCTGATGCTGAAAGGGATGCCACATGTTCCTGCTGGAAGTCACTCCTCTGTGGAATGTCCCTACCCTACCTAATTTAGAACCATGACAGCTGAAAGTATATGGAAGTTTATTCATGTAGCTCAAGAATATCCATCAGAAGATCTTAAAGTTGTAACTCTCCTGCAAACCATCTGTTAATGACCTGAAGTGTATCAGCCATCCAGTGTGTTGATGGACCTACCGGGTCTCACATTTTATTCCATCCTACTTCTCTCCTTTCCTCTTCAAAATGACACACTGAACAGGAGAAACTTTCTATAGTTAAAGCTGACAAAAACGTAATGAGGAGAATTGTAACAAATCATTTTCTTTGATGGTTCTTCCTTCTTATTTGCCTCATTCTGCAAAGGTGATTCTTGTTATTTCAGGTTCCAGCTTGGCGAGGTGACTAGTTTGAGATGAAGCACCACATGCAATACATTGCTACTCCCAATTCACCCTGAACTCTAAACAGAGAAACCCAAACCAAGTCCATCAAGGATAAAGGTAATCAGCGCTCTGCAATCACAGCTAATCCTCAGTTTTTGTAATTTGGTTGGTTTAACGGTACAACTACTCAAACCCACACACACCTCATTTTATTATATTAGCTTCAATAGCGAGAAAATGTTTATTTTTATTCTTCTCCTGCTTAAGGCACCTTAATCTTTTCATCAAAATTAAAATTTCACTTTTGGCAGAAGCAAAATATGGGATGTTTCAACCTGAAAGAAGATATCTTCAGCAGCAAAAGACAAAGAAGGAGGCAAAGAGAGTATGTTTTGCTATTCTTACAGGCATAAAATCCATTACTCCCACTTCTGAGAACATGGGCACCAACTTCAGGACAAAATATGGTATTATTTATGGTATTTATTCCAATGCCCTTTCCTTTATCAGGGTTGTTATTTCCATAGAATGCTTCCTTTGAAGCAAGGCTACCACAATTTCTGCCATTAAGCAACATGGGCTACATTTGCCATCCCATTAATTTTTTTAGGACCTTGAAGATGATCAAAAGCTTCTTTCTCAAAGTATCAAATATGTCTAAAAAGATTTTTTTAAAAATTCCCCTTCCTTACTCCTTGTTGGTTTGTGGCAGTGACCCAAAACCAACAAAACTTTCATTTTGGATAAGGAAAAACTCTGCAACTTGAAATACTGCCCTGCTTCCACAGTCTAGTTACTTGGGGAGTTTTGCTAGTTTTTTCCCCATATGAACACAAGATGTTGTTGTTCTGTTTTATCATTTCTTCCCCTTCTTTCTCCCAGGAGAGATCACTTATGGAGCTTGCAAGTAGGGCTCCATCTTCATGTAATAGATAGGAGAGGACATGTAGGTAATGGTCTATATGCTCCGATTTCTCATTCTCAAAGACCTTTCCTTGTCAAGCGGGTACATGAGGGTACGACACAGGCTATCAGAAATATTCCTCCTTTGGCATCTCAAATTGACACAAGGGGAAAAGCATGACATGGTACCAAGGAATCCCTTTATCAGCTGAGATGAAGGGCTGACCTCTCCTGCAGAGCTACACCTGCCCACCTGAGTTTATAAGTGCTAGGTGGAACAGCAACAACACAAGCTGGAACAGGAAGGGTCTACAGAGCAGATCCCAACACTCTGACACGGAAAATGAAATCATTATCGAGCATATAAAAACATCAGGTAGAAGAGGCTAGAAACAGTGAAAAAGAAAGGTAGATGATCACACACAGAGGGAAGAAAGCTTCTGAAAAACAGTATTTTCAGCTATCAATAGTTGCTTTAAAAATGTTTTAATATGACAGATGAAAAAAAGCATGGGTGGTTTTTTTCATTCTGTTGGACTACAAGATGAGAATTTGGAAAAGAAATAGCACTCTGGCATATCCACCCTAAGCAAATCCTACTATTTGCAGGAATTGAGTTACTGCCCCACATTAAAAGTCAGGGAAGACTGAAGCTGAGAAATGGCTTTATTGGACAAGATTACCAGTTATAAGTTGGAAGCTGGGACTTTTTCTGTTTGGCCACACTTAAACACCTGCGATACCTACCAAGGCTTTGCAGCCTGCATTTGGACATCCCAGATACCATGAGCACTGAAGGGTTTTTACATAGCCACAAACACCCTGTCCAAGCTGGCTGAGCTATCAGTTTGTTTAAGATGCAAAACCAGATCCAAGGGAAAAAAGAAAGCAGCACTAAATACTTCATGCAGATGTTTGTTCAGAAGTGTAGATAAATTTGATTATAGGAGGGAAAGAAAAGCAACACTCCTGTCATGGTTCCTCCAGGCATTCAATGGCACCTGATATTTTAGCTGTATTTTTACTTCTTTTGTTTGAATGTCAGTTTGACAAATGTGAAAGCAAGTCTTGCCAGGAGCCCAAACTAAATTTCATTTATACTTCTGGCTAAACAAACTCTGTGCACTTCAAGTTTTGAATACTGACATTTAAGTTGTACAGTAATTTGTAGACGAAAGCCAATAATGATATCATAACATAGAGTTTTCTGGGGACAAAACTATCTCTGAATATGGAGCTGGGATGTTTCCAGTGGACTAAAGTTGACATTGCAAGAAGACACCAACCAAGGGCCTTGTCCTCTTCCTAATTGATTCCAGACAAGGCTGCCAGTGTCAAACACTCTCTGGAAAGTGCTTCTTGTTTCTTATTCCCAACGAGGGCACCATCTGCCGACAGCAAGGCACTACCTTCTATTGCCTAGTGCTCCAGAGCTATGGTAAGAGAGTAAGCTGGTAAGAGAGTCCAGCCTCTTTCCTCTGCTGGGAAGGATGAGGAAAGCAACCCAAACTGGAGGGATGATCTGTGTGTTCATGTGTTTTGCTTTCTTTGAAAAGCAATTTATTTTTAATAAAGCTGTTAGAAAAGGAAGGAAGAAAGCAAGTATTGACACCTAGAGCATTTATTTTTGCTTATAAAACTATATACAGTTATTTGGAAGTGGGCTCACCTTTACTGCCAAAGCTTGGTTAGGCCTGATGCAAGCAATATCAACTGCAATATTTATTCAGGGCAAAAACTTTCTCTATTTCACTCCCAGCCCAGCAGATGAATGCATGGAGAAAAGGGTAAGTTATCAGTGAGTGCATCTGGCATTCTGCGCAGACTCTGCACTGCACCCCAGCAGCAGGACAAGGCAAGCAAGCACAGCCAGGTCAAGGCACAACTCTGACAGGATGAATGTGTGGCTGTGATCAGTAAAGGAAGGAGGAAGGAATCACTTCCTGCTCTTGCAGTTATAGTTTGTAAGAAAATCAAGGGTATTCAATTTTATTCAAGTACCAATCCACTGAGAGGTT